AAAAAAAAAAAAAAAAAAAAAAATTAAAAAGAAAAAGAATTATCAATCGATGTTTTATTCGTCATATATTGTTTTCCAAAGAAACAAAACGTGATCATGTGAAAATGTTATGAATGCATTTCTTTTTTTTTTCTTTTTCATTTTGTTGTTTTGTCGGATTATAGAAGAAGGATATAATCAGACAACATAATATATATAATCGGTATATGGTATATGTGAACAACAATAGTGTTATATATGTGAAACCATTTTTATGAATATATTTAAAATCACTAACAAATAAAGAAATCGCGAAAAAACATCATCGCTATCCAATTCAGCGATTTATAAGAATCCCTGAATCCTCGTGAACTGTTAATTTTGCTATTACCAAATTTTTCCTAAGTTTTTCTAACCTTCAATTATTTATTCGATTTATTTATCTAGACAAAAAGATATTATAACAGAATATTTTATTTATTTATTTAAAAGTGTTGCACTAAGTAAAAAATATTTTGAAGAAAAGTGAAAGAGAATTTGCCTACAAAGAAGGAGACAATCGTTTCATGTATACATTATATACGTATATACACTATATACACATACATGTATTTATAAATCATTTATTTCTACTGGCGGCTAAATGTACCTAAATATCAGAAAGATAATTATTCTATTTGCAATGACAAATATACGTGATAGTAGATAATCATATTTGAAACAATAAAAATTTTTCGTTACAGAATATATCATGAATACTAATGATACTAATTCAAATTATAAAAACATTAGTGATAGAAAAAAAGAAAACATGAAAAAAAATAAATAATATGGGTAATGATGTTTTAATATGTGATTTTTATTAAAGTCTGAAACTATTGCAAAAATGAGATATATATATGTACTTCCTAGGCCTAAATTTGTACTATGCAACAAAACTGACCTCAGAGAAGTACAAGACATGCATCATGCATATTATATAGTTTACATAAACAAATTAAAAGCCTAATGAAAACGATTCTCCTTCGATAAATACATATAGTCTAACCGCGTTATTGTTATTAATGTCATAATTATTTATGAATACATAAGCAGCAACAAAAAATGCAAAAAGAAAGTTACATGATATTATATAACATTTGTTCAAACATGGATATAAACGCATAAACGTTTTGCAAATAATAAAACGTATACGGATATCCGATATCTTTCGATATACCATTGAATAATAGAATATACAATTCTTGACTTATTAAATTCTTTTTTCACATTTTTGCTAAGGCATAGAACGCTATTGAAGAATAAAAAGAAGAATAATATATAATAATAAAATAGGAAGAAATCAAATTTTGTGTAAATTAAAATAACGAAGTCTGATTTATATGAATGAGAAAGAAGAAATAAAAATCAAATAAGAACATTTCCGACCAAAGTTTATCATATCATATATACTGATAATTTTGAAAATTCCAGAGCTTAGATCTATTTAATGTTAATTTTAAAAAAAAAGAGTTCGATTAAGGAACCTGCCGTATTAATAAATATTTTAGATTCATACTCGTGTACTACAGCGATTAAATGTTTTTGATTCGTTAGCTGAGAAAAGTGTTACCTGATGAAAAGAAAGAATAAAAATTATATGTTGATTATCATTAAGTATATTATAAGTATAAATATATGTTATATAAAAATATAATGATATATAACTACGTGAAACGTAACAATTGGAAAAATAGAAAGAAAGTTTGATGGGAAGAAACGCTTAATTAACTAGCGTGGTCCGAATCGTACGCTTAACTTATACTTAACAGTATTTCTATTATACATATATATTCCGCGTATCTTCGATGATACGTAGTATTTATATTAAAAGATATATATATATATAAAAAGATGTTCTTATATGTATACCATTGTCTTAAAACAATCATTTTGGGTGTCTAATACAGTACACGCTTTTAACATTCCAACATACTTGTAATAGTTGTGACGATACGTAATGACTATATAAATTTCGTGTTTCTGCATTCACTATAAATAACGAAACATTCTGTAAACACCATATTTGTATCGTATTTCTACCACAAATTTTCATGCGCCAATTTCAAAAATGATCTCATACATATATTAATTAATTCAGCTACTTTTTACATAAATAGACACCCTGTTGTTGGACCTGAATTTGCCTTGCATAATATGATTAAACTAAACGGAAACGTTTTATCTATTTCTAATGATTGATCTATTTATAATGATAGCAGTGGGACTATGATTATTGTACAAATACATAATTGAAGAATGAAATGAAATTTAAGATATTATGAGATGATCGAAACAAAGCAAAGAAACAAATACATAATTGAAAAATGAGATGAAATTTAAGGTATTATAAGATGATTGATAAGCAAGGCAGAGAAATAGTTTCCACAACTGGTTTTCTGAATATTTTGTCTTGTCTTATTAAAGAATGTACAATGTATCTTAAATGTGAAGTGTAATCAATATTTTCTTGTAATGTATCCTCATAATTCGATTTAAAATAAAGAATTACTTATTTCCGTCAGATTATATATTTCATATCGTTTATGTATACAAAGAAAAAAAAATAGAATGTAATTTAAAAGAAAATTTAAAAATTTGTAAGAATAGTATACATCTTATGGTTTTTATTTACATTTTGTTTTGTCACGGATTTCAAATTATGCCATATTATTAAATTTATATTACTATTACAAATATTATTTCTTTTCTACAATAAATAATACAAAATATTTCAAATTTTTTATTTATATATACCATGAGATCAAACTATAATATATTTTCTGCATTTGATGAAATTATAGGTCTATTTAAAATAATATTAAAATGCAGAATTCAGATTTTTTGTTAAATTATCTGTTGAAAGATCAACAAAATCTTTTGCACCTTTGCGTCGTATTGATAACGCAATACTTGCACCATTTTTATACCATTTGACTTTCACCAATACACAACATCCTATTTCTATATAAAATATAATACTTTATTATAATTTGAAAATTAATTTATTTTATGGTTTAATAAATAAATTCACATACCAAGTTGGCCTCGTTCATGTGCTGCAGCTAATTGATTAACAACACGTCTTTCTACTTCATATTTAATAGAACGTGCTCCATAATGAGTATCATATCCTTCAGCCAATAATGATAAAACTTCTCTATTCCATTTCAATTCTATTTTATGTCTTTTCTTTGCACGATCTGCCCAAGCTTCCAATTCTTTAGCAACTAATTTTATAAGTTCAGATTGAGAAAATGGTAAAAAATATACAATCTCATTTATTCTGCCTAAAAATTCATCTCTACCAAAATGTGTTTTCAATATTGGTCTTACCTATAAAATAAAAGATTTAATTATGATTAATTTTTAGTTTTTAAAAAATATTTTATAAAGAAATTAATATGTACCACTTCATCTTTAAATTTACGAGATATTTCAATTTGTTCAGAATCCTCTTCTACATCACAATTTATATCCTGTTTTTTCTCAACACGTTGAGCTTCTTCTCTAAGTTGTACTGCATGATCAGCAATTACTTCGCTTGCTAAATTAGATGTCATTACAAAAATTGCATTTTTACATTCGATTGTTTTACCTTTACCATCAGTAAGTCTTCCCTAAAAAAGTTCAAATTTTGATTTTAATACAATATTTTTAAATATCCAGTATGTAAAATATTTTCCAGAAATAACCATACTTCATCAAACAATTGTAACAAGACAGTAAGTACATCAGGGTGAGCTTTATCAACTTCATCAAATAATACAACAGCATTTGGACATTTTCTTAAAAGTTTTGTTAATTGTCCACCATCATCATGGCCTACATATCTAATTAATGTAATGAAATAAAATAATATTTAAATATTTTTATTATATAAATAAAAATATATATTATATTATATGATATAAATAAAGATATGATATATATAATGATATATACCCTGGTGGTGCACCAATCAATTTAGCAACTTCATGTTTTTCTTGATATTCAGACATATCCAATCGAATAAATCCTTCCTGCTTATTTTTATGAATATATGCAGCCAGTTGTTTAGCCAGTTCAGTTTTTCCAATTCCTGATGAACCCAAAAAAAGAAATACTAGAGGATGTTTTTCATCTATCCATCCATTTTCTTTCCTTCTAATAGCTGCAATTATAAAAAAAAATATAATAAAAATATTATAATAAAAAATTATTACAAAATATGTTTTTGTATTATCAATTAATAATTTTATAAAAAAAATATTACTAGATGCAACAATAGATATTGCTCCAGCTTGTCCAACAATGTATTGTTTTAAACGTTGTTCTAAGGGAAACCTACGACGTTCTTCTATTTCCTGTTTACAATATCAGGTAAAAACATAGATCAAAAATAGCACTAAATACAAATCAAAGCTTGATTTTAATCATATGTACTTTTTCCTTCATTATTTCATCATATTTTATAGCACGTTTTATAAGCATTTCTTTGAGTTCTCCATCTTTAGCATATTCTACTGCTCGATGTCCTGATTCATTTTTCATTGTTGGATCAGCTCCTGCTTCTAATAAAGCTTGTACACAAGCCTTAGAATCTGCTAATACAGCATAATGTAATGGAGTAAACCCTTTAAATGTAGCTCTACTATTCAAATGATCACAAAATTCTTCCTCTCTTATCATAAGTACTAAAAAGTTGTAAAATTTATGCAATACCTTGTAAAATATTAATTTGTAAAAATAAACAAATACTTATTATATTTTTAATAAATTATAATTTAGATTTTAATCTTTTATACCATCCAAAGTATGTAATCCTTTTTCTATAGCACTTCCATAGACATTAATAAATTCATCTTGAGCATTAACATCAGCACCATACTTTAATAAAAGTTTAACAACTTCTGGTTGTGAATTAATAGCAGCAAGATGTAATGCTGTCCAACCCAATAAATGACGTGTATTTATATCAATGCCTTCTTTTATAATCTATAAAGAAATATTTTGTTAATTATTAATATAATAGTAAAATGATTTCTTATACTTACACTTTTTAATTCTGGAATGTTACCATATTTTACAGCCCGAAAAAACTGTTTATCTATTAAAAAATAAATGAGAATTAGAAATGAATGTTTTATATAATAATTATATTTTAATTATTAATTCATAATAAAAGATACCTCTATAATTTTTTGCTTCACAAAGAGTTATAGTTATACCAATACCACTTAATAAAAATCCCAATTTTTTACTACTTTTTTCATAATTAATATTATATTTATTCGATAATATTTTTATTCTTGTTAATAAAGGATGGATTTCCTTGGATTTAAGCATATCCAAAAATCTATATAATGGATAAATATATTTTTCAAATTTCCAATGAAATTGGGCATAACCTCTACTATTTTGATACAGTATGGCTTTTATTTTATTTGTTATTTTTACATTTGTATTGCTTATTAAAATTGTTGAATATTTAGCCTCTTTTATAATCGAATAAAATCGTAAATTACACAAACGTGACATTTTATATATGTAGATTTTATAGACTAATATGCTTAAACCATATGATTTTATCTTATACGATTAACATATCTAATACTTATTACTAATACACAGACATATAAATTCATTGAATAACTGCCAATAGTTAGTAATCATGCAATAACACAATTTGTGTTATATTTACGTTTTTAATAGTTTTATTTTGAGATTATATACTTAAAATGACGCTTTTGTATATTAAGGAATACATCACGTAATAAACATTTTAAGAAACTGCATTGACACAAGATACTAATGAAGTTCTTTTATTTTAATCATATAAATATAATCATATAAGTAACAATTTAAATATTTATAAACTATATTTAATACATATGTAAAATATAAAAAAATAAAAATATAATTATATTAAAAATTATTTTTTAACGTTGTGTATATATATACATATATATACGTATATATATAATATAT